TCAATGAGCTATATACTATATCTACCAATCTATCTACCCCATCTTAATTTTATTACAAGTTATACAAATATTTATTTTAAGTTGGCATTAAAAAATCTTGTTCTTGTTTATAAACATTACATACTTAAATATGCTTTGAATATCAAAGCAAGAAGAAAGTAAATTCAAAATAAAAATGACTATTTGCTAGGGGGAAAAATAAAAAAACAGCATCAGATTGTGGCAGGCAGAGGAAAATAAAACATTAAAAACCAGCAGCTTGGAGAATAATTTYCTCCTCTGAATACATTAGCCGTAATTTTGGAAAGATGGTGCCAATTACGCATGTAATTGACCTGGACACTCTTTATGTAAAATAAGGTTTTGAAGTGCGCATCGTCAAGATGATTACAGAAACCCACCTGCTGTTGCTCCAATGGGCGTGCGTGCGTGTGCGCGGGCACGAGGTCCTGGACTTTGAGAACAAACTGTTTTCTCAAATATCTCATACTTAGACAGCAATTAACACCCTGTTGACGCAACAAGAAACTATTTTTAAAAAAATTAAAATAATGGCCCATAAGTAATATTTCTCGGTTTATTTCACAACATGATTCAGCAATACAATATCAAAACCGTGTTTTTTTTTAACTGTACAAATGAGAAGTCACGAGGAATTTTCTCCTCCTCGTTTCCCATTAAATATATACATTTACATTTTTTACACAAGTGAAGTCAGTTTTTTTTCCCTCTTCCTGTTCAAAGGAGCAATAGATTTGTGCTTAAAAGACTTGTGAAGAATTACCAAAACATGAAACTATGGGGATTTTACAGCTGGGTGCTCTTGATTGTCCCCCATCAAGAAAATATATATAAAAAAAACGAGACAGAAGATAAAAAATATGAGAAATCATGTGGTGTTCAGTGGATTCACAGCACACAGTCAGTGTATTGCACATCATCGTGTCAGCAGATCAGATAATGTAAATGAAAATCAAATGAGAGTGTGTGAGAAGTGGGTCACATCTTCAGCTAGTTTTCTGTAAAGGTCGATTTGTACATTACACACAGACATGTCAAGCAACACATGTGGAAGGGAATTTAAAAAAATGTAAAAGGAATAAAGACACTAATCAATCTGTGGGTAAACTCCTGAGATGACAATAATAATAATAATAATAATAATAATAATAATAATAATAATAATAATAATAATAATAATAATAATAATAATGTGTAAACGGAATATTTCTGGAACAATTATTTGAAAAAATAAGTATATGTTTGCTTGACAATGACAGCTTTCTGTTTGTTTGTTTTTTTGTCCCTTTTTTACAATCGTATAAAAATATCGTCTTTTTTACTTTATGATAAGTTAGGACACCCACCTGTGCCACCGAGCTCTGGCTCTCAGACCGGTCTGAGCAGCGGCACAGATGTCACGATGGGATGGGAGTAGTAGACGCCCGGGTGCGGGAAGGAGAGCAGCGGCTGGCTCGCGGACACGTTGGCAGCCGCGCCCGCGCCCTCCGAGGCCGAGTTCTCGTGGTAGAGGATGGGCACCCGGACTATCCTCTGCGCCGCGGCGTGGCTCAGGTTGGCGGCCTCCAGCTCGGCGGCCAGCTGCCTTTTCCACTTGTTCCTTCGGTTCTGGAACCAGATCTTCACCTGCGTCTCCGTCAGGTGGAGCGACGCGGCCAGGCCCGCGCGCTCCGAGCTGCTCAGGTAGCGCTTCATGTCGAAGGTGGACTCCAGCTGGAACACCTGGCTCCGGGAGAACACCGTGCGCGTCTTCTTCTTGCGGCACGGCTTCTTGTCCTCGTCGCGCTTCTTCCAGTCGTCCAGCTCGTCTTTCTTGGGCTCCTCGGCGTCGCTCTCCTCCAGGATGATCTCATCGCTGCTCTTGGTGTTGTTATTCTCGTCGTCCTCGTCGTCGTCTTTGGCGTCCGGTTCGGATTTGAGCACCAGGTCCGGAGAGTCTCTATCYGTGCCGGAGGTTGGAGATGAATCTCTGGCTGCTGGTTTCTCTATAACTGGGATGAGAAAACGAAAAGTAATGAAATTATAAATAAAACGCATTTACATATTTATTCTGGACAGTARGSRGRMYTT